CCGCGCGGCACGCGGAGGCCGAGCGCGGCCGGGCGGCGCTGGCGGCGCGGCGCGGCGCGGTGCAACGCTGGGCGCAACGGGAGGAGTTCGGCCGAGCGTGCGAGCTGCAGGGAGGCAGCTTGGAATAGGGGTTGGAGGGAGAGAGGGAGAAGGGAACGGAAGTGGAAGGAGAGGTTGCTTCAGGACGGATGGCTAGAAGTGTTGGTGACTTCTTGAGGATGCTCAGAGTTGGGGGAGCCTTCCCTTCTTCAGGGCTAGCCTTGCACTGGCTTTGGATTGGAGAATCATCCATCTCATGTGCTCCTGGTCATGGAAAGTACTCCCAGGAGTGACATGGCACATGCCCACTGACCCGCTGTTTGTTGGTTCTCAAATCGAAGCAACGATGGATGGCAGTGATTTTCTATGAGAGGCATTCACTCTTTGAGCTATTTGCAAAGGGGTCCAAACTCCATGTTGACTAGCAAAAGGAACTGACCTCCTGTTCCGCATCTTCCCATGATAGCAGGCCGTGTTTTTCTGGATTGGTAGGTTTTGACTCACCATTGGCTCAGGTCTGCAGGAGCTCCAGAAGCAGTGCCAAACGGCCCAGGCCGAGGCGGAGGCCGAGGTTTTCAAGCAGCCTGAGCCCCGTACTTAGTTTGTAGACATTCGTTCGTCTTTGTTTCCAAGTGTACTTCTTGGATCTTCTTGGTTCAGTAGGGAATCATTCAGTCCCCCCCAATGATTTGTTTTCTCCTACGAACCGACTCGCTTATAGGGAAGACATGGTCGTATTGGTCGTGGTACTTTTTTCGACTGTTCAGGCATGAACCCGCTCGGCTCCGGTGAGAAAATAGCTTCATGATGCTTCATAATAGCTTCTTGTTGCTAATAGCTTCTTGTTACTACTAGTAAGGCACTTGTTACTAGTAGCGATGCGGTGCTAGTAGCGATGCTTCATCCCCTGGTGTTTCTGGGGGCCACATCCGATCCACCTGAAGCTCCACATCCGATCGGGCGGCGGGCGAAACCCGGCGATCGCGAGACAGGCGATCTTCGGCGGTTTGGAGCAGCACTTGCGGCGGATCTTGACGGTGGCGGAGGCCATGTTGGCCCACAGCCGAGCGGATCTCAATGAAGATTTTCAGCTCTATTTGCTCATGGAGGACCGGTGCCGGTGTTTCAACTGGGTCCAAAGAGAGAAAGGGAGGAGCTCTCAACATGAGATGCAAAGAGATGAAGCGAGATGAGGAAGAGAGATGAGGAGAAATTGATGCTTTGCTCACCTCACTTCTCATCTCCCAGGACCTCCTGCACCCTGCCTTAAGCATCATCGATGGCATCCCCTCGCACTACTTCACCTCCACCTCGTGGCCGCAGCTGAAAGCTTTGGCGCTTCGCTGCGTGGCGCTCCACGCATCCTTGCCCGGCACCGCGTCCGGCGCCGCGTCCGGCGTCGACATTTGGAACTTCTTCCGCTCGGTCTTGGCAGAGCAGCTGCGGTCTTCCCGACGGGTGGAGCCCGGCGCCGAAGGTGGAGCGTGGAGGGGAAGAGATCCGAGGTGAAAATGGCGGTGAGAGAGAGCATCTAAAGAGACAAACACAAGCTAATTGTTTTGTAGGCGAAAAGAGTATGGTTGGAGAATGAAGCAAAAACACTTATGCAGGTATTATATATTATATATTATATAGATTACTTTGACCCAGGGGTTTCAATTTCGCGTTTAAAAGGTTTTGCACGTTTTGGCGACGTTGGAGCTGGACATAGAATTGTCGTGGTCCTCGAATTGGCTGAAGGTCTTTCGGTGGAGCTTCTTTTTAAGCCGTAGGTCTCTGCCAAAATGTTGTTTCCTTCCACATTTTGACGGAGAAGATGCCCCAAAAAAGCATTTTGGAGAGTGAGAGGTCTAACCTCTCTCCAGGTGTCATCTTCCAGTGCGTGGCCTTCCTGATCGACTCGATTTTGCAGGGAAAGACACCGGATGCACAGCAGGCCGACAGAAGTCCCGCGGGACGTCCGATCGTTTCGCCACGCGAGCGGCGAGCGGAGGTGGACCGAAAGCGCAGGCGTGCGAGAGGACGGGAATCGGAGAGGAACACCTTTGGGGGATATTTCTTCAACCAGCTGGGGATAGGTTTTGATGGGTAGGTCCATAGGGTTTCGGACCGCTGCCGGTACCATTTCAGGGTTGAGCTTCACCTGCACAGATTAAGTTTCTCTCGACACGTGATACAATCGCCATGAAAGTGGTCCCCCACATACTCGACAAGGCTTAGTCGTGGGATTGCAACCGCCAGATTTGTTGCATTTTGCTGTCAGAGTCACAGGTCTTGTTTTCCTCTAAAGGTTGTCACTCATAGCCTCCATTGAAATCACGGACGGGAAAGCACCCCACGGACTGGTAAGTCTGGGATGATGGATGAAGTCTCCGTGGTTTGATGCATGAGGTCTCGACACACCCAAACTCATTTCACGCAGATAGATGATGGTAATACCTAGCATGAAGATTCACTCAAAGAGGGTCCAGGTGGCCATCAGAGGCAGAAATTTTAGCCAGGCGATTTTTCCGACCACCAAAAGGAGATAAAGGAGCCTGCAATGGAGCACCAATGGAGGAACATGGAGGATCACAATGGAAAATGGTCACCAATTGGTCCAGGTGATACCGAGATCACAGGAGTCCTCCATTCACCACCAAAATGCAATGTCCTCCCCTCCATGGAGGCCTCCATCGAAGTGTGCCATGCAGTGGCCAAGCTCCTGGCAGGTGCGGGCCGGAGCGGCGTCCTCGCTTTCGGTTCCACAAAGGAGCCAAGTTCGAAGCTCCCAAAAATCTCCCTTCAACTCCCAGGGTCGCCCCAGAAGTCGTTGGCCCAGGGCGTGCCTCTTTCTTCCAACGACTTCTGCACCCTCACCCTCCACACCCGCCGGCCGCGCCAGATGCCTCGACCAGCGCGGTGCGGCACGAGGTGGCCCTTCGGATCTGCACGCTGCTGACCTTTCAGGGCGCGCCAACCACCGCCGCGGATGGGGCGGGGGAAAGATCCCACCACGGTTGGACCGCGTTGGAGAAGCGCGGAAGGGAAGGTCGAAGCAAGAAAACGATGACGGTGTGAAGACTCAAAGATTTGGAGCTGTGAAGATCGATCGTGGTGGAGTTGCAGTGGTGAATGAAGACTACCACTTGCCGCACGACCGCCATGAAGACTACCACCCGATGCTTTCCATGATTTCCCAAAGCAAACACCAGGGGGGAGAGTTGATTGGATCCGAAGATTTGGAGGTCAACTGTTCAACTGTTCCTGTCGCCTGTGGGAACTTCTTCTCGCTTCTGCGGCCAACGTCGCGGGCGCAGGGCTCCCAAGAGAATTTCGCATCTCAGGTGATGAGGATCCTCGGTCACGACTCACTGGTGTTCGTTCCATGACTTCAGAAGATACAACACGTTTGGATAGGTGCAAGGTGGGTCGTCAGCATCGAAGTAGTGGTTCATCCTGATTCATCCTTGTTAATGAAGCAACAGTGTCGACCTCATTTGGCTCGACCTCATCTACAGTGCTGCAGAACAAGTTCAGGGACGACATCCAAGTCCTTCCCGTCAACGTCGCTTCGGGTTCGCTCCGTCGGCTTGCGAACCCTGGACAACAGGCCTGGCTGCCTCGGGGGAGGACGCGCACCGCGCGGCACAGTGCTGGACGGCCACCTGGCTGCTGGTCCAAGCCTTTGCACAAGTGGAAAGCCCGGCTGCCGGGGACGCCGTCCAGGCACCAGCGGGGTTGGGATTCTCAGAGAATGACTGCAGGGTCGGTGAGTCCTCCGGGTACGCCTGGATTCGGAGGATTTGAGGGACCGGTGAGGCCATTGAACATTTAAGATGTGGAAACCACTGGGGATCCCTGTCCTGCAGAGTCCCTTGGGGTTATCCTTGAGAACACCGGAACAGGCTGCCGTCTTCAGCGGCCGTGTCTTGCGTTTCTTCGCCTCACTCCGCAGCCTATCCTGCCAGCATTTGGAGGCGGAGTTGCAATGTCATCCGGGAGTAGAGTGAGTGCAAGGACACTCCAACACCAACTGGAACACATCCACTTATCTGTGCATCCATGTTCTACCTACTCCAGAAGGATTGACCAACATGTTGGGTAAACGGGGGGTTTGCCCTGACTGCAACATGCAGAGGGTCAGAAAACCATGTATTTTACAGGGGTTTTGCGGTTTCGGGACACTGAACTTACCGTCTTGGAGTTAGTGAACTCCAAGACGATAGAGTGCATTTTGAAGACCATGCAAAGACCACTCAGTCAAATCCTGGAGTCTTTCCCATCCTCCCACCTGGTAGATGATCTGGAACTCAAGCTAGCATTAAGTCCAACCCTGGATGTTGGCTGAACATGGCTGAACCACAAAGCTCGAACATCGAGCCCGCCATATCCTCTAAGCCAAGAGCGCAAACGTGACGACGTCGGCGATGTTTTGCTTGCGCAACGAGTAACACGAACAACAGTGTCCCCAGCCCCCCCGGAAAACCCTCTTCACTGGCCGGAAACGTTTGCTTGCCGTCGGGGCACCCCCCCCGTTGACCCAACATGTTGCTACAAATGAAATCTTGGGACTGACCAAGCCCCAACATCTATCCAGGTTGTCCTTTCCAGCCAGTCCAAGGCTGAAATCCTTGATAGAGGGTAAAGTCCACAAACAATGCTGTTCAAGTGCAAGTGGATTGCATGACAGTTTGAACAAGGAGCCTCTTTGATCTATTTAACCAGCAAACATCCATGTGCAATTCGATTCGCCGCGGAGGCTGGGTGTCGCATAGGTCAACAGGTCTTTGGAAAGCTTCCGCCCAAAGCACTTGGGAAGGCGGTATATAAGAAAACACATGTGTCGGTCAAGAATCTATAGCCCACAAGACCTGTGGTCCCCTGAGGAGCTTTCATGCGGGCACGAGTATTTGTGCCTAGCCAACCCCATGGTTTAGGCAGAAAAATGCACCAGGAGCTTCGCGCCGACTTCGCGCCCGTGCTTTGCACATTTCGAGCGGTATTTTGGATCTGATTCCCACCGCGGCTGCTAGGTCTTGGCGTCCGCCATTGAAGGCTTCCTCACATTGGACCTGTGGCGCTTGGGCCACTTGTTGCCGATGGCGCGAGGCCTCAGATGCCTCGAGAAACGGCTCGGCTGGTGCGCCACGGCTGTTGTGCTTCTAAACGGCCATGGCCGCTGATTGAGATCACACAATTGCTGGCAAGACGTTCGCAGCGGGCCTTGATTTCAAGGAACGGGTGGAATGTTCAAGATCCCGTCCAAGCACAAGTGACATCCCTGAATCTTCTGGATATCTCCGGATGTTCGGAGGTTCAGCCACATGGAGATAACAACTGCAGCCATCGCGATTGCACCTGAGGTCACATGCTCCTGTCTACCGAGTTTGTAGTTTCAAGCACACAACTCTTGTCCTGCCATGCGCCACTTGATCTAAACGCCTCAAGGTAATTATTAGGTATGTACCTTTTGAATTCAATGTGTTGATGATTGCCACCTTGTATGCTACACGTCCTCAAAGAAACGTCGCACCCCAACGTCCAAAGAGGCATTTTTTGCAAACACACCAGAAGGTGAACACACAGCCGGATGGCATTTGCCCGTCTGAGACGGCCGCGACACGTGTATTTGTCGCTTCCGAGGTCAACGATCATCCCACGGTCTTGGCTTTGCCACGCCAAAGACCTCAGATCGAAACGCAGTGGACATACTGAAACGTCGAAGGTGGAATGGGAAACCCGGTAGTAATCAGCCAGGAAGACCACACAGTTGACACATTTTCGGCTTAGAGATGTGAAGGAAGAAGTGTCTCTCAGTTCGCACCTCTACTGCACCTTCGCTGAGTTCAAGGAATTTGTCAAGTCAGGGTAGTCCAATCAAACAGGGAATAGGCGGAATAGGGAATCTTTGCAGGCCTACAGTGAGCGGCTGACGTGAATCTCAATGGACTCCCCACCTGAGAAATCTGACATCAGTGGAATTCTTCTCCTTGTAGTCTCACTAGGCCCTAAACCCAAAAGACTATACTGGAACCATCCAGAACCTCTTCTTCGTGTTCGGAGCGAAATCCCCACCTCTGGTCACCCAGCCAGTCGGGTCACGAGGTGTTTCGCCGTGAATCCGCGCTCGCTGCGAATCGTGGTCGAGGCTTGGTGCGCTTTGTGAGTCGGGAGTTGTCCTGCTTCAATGGCCCTGGCCTTAGTCAGACCTTCCAGTTGCCCCCCCGAGACAATCGATTTGAAGCCCCATGATGTGAAGCCAATCTTCCAAGTCCGACCATGGCGAAGGTGTGAAGCCAACACGGGCGAAACAGGTGGTCTAGACATGTGCCGAGATCTGACATGATGGACATGTGCCTGATGGGCCTCGAGGACTCTTTTCGAAAAAATTAGAAAACATGGAGCCACAAATCGTCTAGTTTTGGGAGATCTCAAGCTTTTGGTTTGCGCACGAAGCTTGGACTTCAAGTAGAAGGACAAAGGTTCGACCAAATATGTGCATGGGCGTGTTCTGTTTGGAAGTGGAAGGCATGCCTTTGATCGAGAGTTTCCTGCGTCAGGGAACCGGGGCTAGTGAACCAACGTCAAACTGAACGAACAGCTGCAAGGGCCTGGGAGATTTACGCAGGGGTATGGTTATTAATGCCAGGGGCTGTTGATCATCAATGTAATCACTCAGTAGTAGATAAGACTTTGTTTTTTCTCCGAGCGAAACTACTTCAAGCATGCTTCACGTCACTGTTTCTATCCATGTGGCTTCTTGGGAGGCCCTGACAAAAGTCCTTGGTGTGAGAAGCTACAGTGGGTTTGGCACATAGTTCTGCACCACATGCCCAGGCGTGGTGGATGAGCAGTGCAGAACTTAGTGACGAGATCCGTTTTGTGTTTCGATCGCGGGTTCCAAAACTCCACCGCGTTCTGTCGAAGAGAAGGGCGGTTTGCGAGGTTGCACCCTGTTGCACTCGAGTTACCAATCTTTAGGCAATCTTTTCATGTCAAATTTCAAGTAATATGAGAAGAATGGCCGCTTTCCAGCCAGATTCCTATCACCCCAATTGACTAGAGGGACTTCCAGTCCGTTACTGGTTTGCATCTTGGTGATTGAGCAGGGCAGTCCTGAATGCAGATTTCTTGCTGTTTGGGTGTTCGAACGATGCTGCCTCTCTGAGGATTCACTGGCTCCAATGCCTTTGGCGCCCCTTATCCCTGGTCTGCTTGGAGACCACGCCTTCAGTGGCCAGTGATGCGCGCCTTCCGGAGGTTTGGAAGGGTCGAATATTCGGAGAGTTTCAACCTTTGCATTTGGATGACTGAACCCACAAGATACCACAACAACCAACCAAACTGAAAACAGTTAGAGACGGTGAAAGCTGAGGGACTCCCCGGCGGGACATTTGCATCAACTCCACCAGGTGAAAGCAAGCGATGGGTAGACCGTTGGTTTGCGATTGGGTTGAGCTTTTCGAAGCTCGCCAAATGGTCCGGATCTCCTTTTTTCGACAAAATCGGCAGGAAGACGTGACGAGGAGAGAGTAGGGATCATTGATGTTCATTGATGCTGATTGCGCACGACTCTTCGTAGAGTCTAAACAGCTGGTTTCTATATACAAAAAAGGCCACACGAATTTACATTTGTAGCCTGTAGTCTTGCCTTGGTTATTGTGAGTGATTAGAGTTTTCACCATACTTACTCGGATGCTGTTCAGGAACGCACAATTGCCCTACTTTTACATCGAAACTTGTTGATTATAATCATAATCTACAAAACGATAATCTCTTCCTACTTGATGAGGAACTGCCAAAACTACTGGAATCCAACTAACTAATTATATGTATATATATATAATGATATATTGTAGTGTCTTGTGCTTCTAGGGCAGGTGTGGTGGACACATAATCACTCACGTCAGTTGATGTGGCATGCGACATGTACATGTGCCGCCGCTTATGCCCGATGACGTTGTCAGCTTCGGAGAGGACCTTCCTCATACTTATCACAAGATACCCATGCATCCTGATCATACTTGGGCGTGCATTGTCACCTACTTCGTGCCAGGCCAGAGCGCGGTCCGTTTTCGTCGTTACTTCGGCCTGTTGTTTGGGTTGCCGCTTGCAGTCACCTGCTTCAACCGCTGCTCCTTTTTCTTGCAAGCCATCCTCCGCCGTGTGTTGCGAGTCTTGGGCTCCTTCTACTTTGATGACCTTACGGTCCAGGATTGGAAACAGTCAGCTTCTGACTGCCTTCCTTGTTGGGATACCCCTTTGCAGTTGAGAAACAACAGCAGCCTGCTTCGGAGTCTGATTTCCTCGGTCTATAGTCCATGACCTTGCCAGTCTCAGAGTTGACGCCACAGTCCGGCTTTGGATCCGTGATCGGCTCGTGGCGAATGTGCGTGCCATTATTGCCACTGCGCGGAGTCATCGATCCCTTCCGCCTGGCCAGGCGAGCAAGCTCTATGGATGTTTGACGTTTCTAGATCAAGGAGCCTTTGGTCGAATCGCTCGAGCAGGGCTGAATGCCCTCAAGGATCGTCAATATGCTGCCGCCTCGATCCTAACTGAGGACTTGTTTACTGTCTTTGATCTTGTTGAAGCTATTTTGGATTTTCGCCCGCGGCGATGCGTTCGTTATGCCCCTTCGGGAATACGTCGGTGAGTCATAGCCAGTGATGCCTCTCATGGTTCACATTGATTCGGAAGTCTTTTCGTTGTGGGACAAAACACCAACCAAAATTGCACAACTTGAGCTCCTGGCCATAGTCTCAGGATTGCTTACCTTCCCTGCCCTCTTTCGTGGGGCATATATCATCTGGTGGGTCGACAACGTTGCTGCTCTCATGGCATTGATTCAAGGCCGCTCTGGCCATGTTGAACTCGACCGCATGGCCCAGATAGCACACATTGTTTTGTTCCATCTCGAGTGCATCGCATACTTTGAATTGGTCCCCAGTTCGGCTAACTGGAGCGATGGCATTCCCCGCGATGGACTTCGCGATGCATGGTGGCGCAACCATAACTTCGCAGTCCATGTGAGCACAGTCCCCGTCCTCTTGTGGAGGCTACCGTTCAAGCTGCTCTTTCGTGTCCTTGCATTCTTCTAGTGCGTTGGGGTTTAGTGCACACTGCCGGTGTATGCAGTTCACCTCCTAGTGGCTCTAGGTGTACAAACCAATGCAAATCGGAAGAGTGCCTTCTGATGACCGAAAGAGTTCTACCCCAGCTCCCTGCGCGAACTGTGGAAAAAGAAGGGAGCTGTTCTTCAGTCGGCTGATCTGAATGTATATACAGCTTGTTTCAGCATGGACAGGGGGCACTCACTGTAGAAACTGATAAAGTCGGAGCAGCCAATCAGGCTCATGGCGTGCTTCGTGCTATCCCAGCACAGGCTCTCCTTGCTGCAGCCCAACCCGGTGCAACACGACGGCGCGACGAAGTGGGTAGAAAGTCCTTCATCCTGGGAACGCACGCCAGATGATACCTTTTTTGGCTCACAATTGTGTTCGTTGGTTGGGCCAATGAGTCTTGATGAATCTTGATGTTGCGCTTTGGGGTGTCTTTCAGTTTGCCCTTTCTCCCTTTTCGAACATGAGCTTGTGGAGAAACATCAATGACTTGGAGAATCTTGGCGATATGTGCGTCAGTTTCTCATCACCGCAACCCCACAGCTTCACTGAGACCTTCAGCTTCCCGCCAGCCGCACAGCGTTCCGCTGTGGCTTCGGAGGCGGCCCACTGGGATTGGCAAAAGGATCAGTAGGCCATCAGGAGAGTCGTCTAACACATGAACTTAGACCCATATTTAAGCAAACACATATATAATTCATGAATTGTAGACGTAAAAAACACAAAATGCTACAATTGTGTAATATCTAAGCATTCTGTCCATTTTTCTCCACGAGGACCACCAAGGACCACCCAAGTGGACTTGTCATGGCACCCCCAATAGGGATGTCATAGCAATCTATGAGGTGGAAGACGCGCGTGGAAGTGCATTTTACAGTCATTTGGTGGAGGACACGCGTTTTTGCCCCTACGTAGTTTAGAGCTCCTAAAAGTGCTCTTCCATGCATGACTTCCATCCGAGGATTGTCGGAAGTGTGACATGTGTTAAGGACCACTGAAGCATCACATCAATCCCTAGATGAAAGCGACCAAGGCACCTCTCAAGGAGCAGATATGATGTGAGCAGTACACATCGGGGTCAAATTCCAGGAGGTACAACCAAAGCAGCACACTCCATAGCAGCACCTATTCATTCTCCTATCAACCAAGCAGTAGTCATGACAAAGGAGTGCTGAGATATGCCGAAAAGACTGTGGGGAATACTAAAAAGACTGGCAGCTCAACACCGCTGGGTCCGCGGGGTGATCAACCTGCTCCTGCACAGCACAGGTCGCCTGGGTCATCAACCGCTGCATGGAGAAGTGGGGTTCCTGGAACAGGCGCGGAACAATGGCCGTGGCCGTGGCGCCATCCGAACACCTCATGACCTCGAGCGATGTGGAACCGCTGCCGACCCCGGTCAGGTCCAAGGCGGTGGCTCCAGCGGTCTCAGGCGCCGGAGCGCCGCAGGATCTCACGGCGGACCGCCGCGAGACCAAAGAGAAACACCGGAGGATCGATTGTTTTGCCCCAGCTTTCTGTTGGATACATGGATTTCGATGGGCAAAAGAATCAAGCTGTTTTGAACCGTCTACGAGGGTACTAGCCTGAAGAGTTGTTCTTGTTTGGTTTCGTGTGGTGTTTTGGGGTCACAACCACTGAATCAATGGATGACAGACCCTTTAAATGTATTTTCATATCATCGTTCTGTCTCTGCTTGTTTACCCCAGACCCAAAACCGACCCTTGATTTGTGGGATCCTCTGACGAAACCTTGCCTTTCCCAAGCTCACTATTTTTTCTTTGTGCTTCTCAGATGATCCGGTTCACGACCCTGCTTTGCTGGTTTTGCTTGTTCTCAGCAGTCGTTAACGTACGAAAGCTCTCAACTGAGTGGAAGACGACACACTCTTCAGATTCGGAGCTTCCACCATGCACTCGACAAGTAGATCCGGTGGACATCAGTTCCATATAATGTATATATATATACACATACAGATACACATTATGATACTTATAAGACTTTAGATCGATCAAACACACACACACACAGTATACATAGCATGGCTTCACCTCAGATTTTCCAAGTCTACCAAGAAGTGTCCTCCCATTTCAATCCATCTTCCCCCCAAGTGTCCCGCCACCCCCAGGCGCCGTCGCCCAGACGTTACGAGACTTGATGGAGCGCGGGGGCCTTGGCTTGGGGCCCACCGTGCGCTGGGTGTGACCGGGTGTGGAGCCTAGCCGTAGCCGTTGGTTCCATGACCAGTCTACCCACCAGTCTACCCAGACAGAGGCGAGAAAGGGGAAACTCCCGATGGAAAATACACCCATATGTCCAAGAAGGCCAGGGCGCCAGTGCTTGGAGTGAATCTGTTCAGGGCAAAAACCATGGAAAAGCCCGGTATGGCCATTGGTGAAGCGTCCCAGTACTTGCAACCCCACTTTGGAAGGACCGTGCCTCAGAGGCGGGCTGGGTGTAGCTGGGTTTTCTGGCCTCGGTGGACGCAACGTCGGAACCCGACCGTTGCGGGGTACCGTCAGGGAACCGTGCAGGTGGACCAGGATCAGCTGGGTCATGCAAGCTCAATTTGAGGCGATCCTTGTTCACGCACTGAGTTTTACTCAATCCTGACCTGCTTAGACGTCATCCAGCCAACTCGGAAAAGCTCGAAGTGTCCTTCTCAATCCGCGCCTGGCCATCTACCTGAACCCCCCCCCTTTAAGTCTGTTGGTCTCGACACCATGCGAGGGACTGGACCTCAAGGAGATGGCTCGCACCGGTCCCCGCGAGGTCTGTCGCTCTCGGCCGCCCTCGCGGAGGCAACGTCGGGTGAAGACAAGATGATGGAGAGTCGTGATGGGTTTGCGGTTTTGTTTTTGATCCGGCATCGATGTTCGGAACGATTCCAACAGGGATGTTAGAGGGCGGCAGGACATGGGGTCACCTTGAAGGATAAGAATGAAACACATGTAAAAGCCTGAGAACCAAGAACCTGCATTCGTTGATCCTTTTGTGTACAGTGGGGTTGATCTCGACCACATTTCTTGCAAGGGGCAGAAGTTCTTCTGGGGGGAATATTCAGCCCTCAAGACCTTAAGAAGGATGACTTCAAAGCAGTTGCGAGATTTAGGTGTATCTCAGAGACATCCTTATCCCCATCATCTCAGCCCTGGCAGGTTTGGACGGGCGGTTAGGTTCCTCCATGTTGAAGGACACCCACTGGCTGGTCCATTCCGATCTTTTGGCTGGTCAGAAGGTACGGCCAAGACCCACATGTTTCAGATTTTTTGTCCAAAGATGTCGCTGGGAAGACGCCCGAGTCACGCCATCCATGACTGGTCATGCCAGCCAGTCGGTTGGGCCACGCAGAAATGAGATGCTTCACTTCATGTTCGCCGGAGCAGGATTGGGAGGCCACCTACCAGCATGCTGAAGCTCGACGGAGCAGGAGAAGCGTGTGTGTGTGTGTTTTTTCTTTTCGCCCAACAATACGCTGTTTGGATTGATCAGAATTTCGAATCGCCTGATGACGTAGTTTTGCACAGGAAACCCCGGGATTCGCCTCTTTCACGCCTCGTAACCTTCTTTGTTTTTCATTGTGATGGATGAATCATGAGTAGGTGATGTGGCTCAGAACCTGCTTTTGAGGGAATGGTTCTTTGTCATAGGGGAACATGGGGCTGTGACTTGTTCGCAGGCTGCGGAAGGAGATCTGCAGCCTGGGGGTTGACCCGGAACGAGTTCTGCGAGACCTAGGCTGTGATGGAGGCAACGAGAGATGCTGCAATACTCTGGCGTTCAAGAAATCCTGCCTGGTGTCACCTGGATTGCAAGGAAAACTGGGTGGTGGTTAGGAAACGCATATATATATATATAGTTATATATAAGTACACATTTATATACATGTTTGGCTGTGAGAAAATGCACACATATTCTTTAAATCCCAATCTGGGACTGGTTATCCCAATTGACTACTGTAATAATTGAAAAGCTTGCTTTAATTTGTTCTTTTCACCAATAGGACTTCCTGAGCACACTGGTTTGGTGCCGGCTGCCAGGCCCTCACAAACGACCAGCCAAGCGTGCGAAGACTGTGACCTCCTCGGCGGCAGGACTGACACGGAAGTCTTTCTGAAATCTTTCTGCTATACAAAGTGGTCATGCTCAGATGACTCTCACGATTCCTGATCAGGGAGGACCCACTTCTGTTCAGGTGTGTATTCTTCTTGTCCTACTCAGGAATGGATGTAAACGGGTCTATTTCCCATATCCAGGAGTCCCAAAAACAATAAAGTTGAGTCTATTTTCTTTTACCAGACATGTTTTGGGGATTAGCTAGCGGGCCAAGACCCTGAGCCAATGGACAGGACGCGGCGGCGCCTGATCGTCTCCGCAACAATTCGTTTGATATCAAGTGCTGCAAGATGGGCAGGTATTCCAGAAGTGATGATGTGACGCCAAAACATGGAACCCAAGTGTTTGAAGCCCAGAAGCACAACTCCCTGCGGCCCTAGAAGCTTGTGGTAAGCTTCTCAGTGCATGCAAGAATTCGATCATCAACCGTGGTGGACGGTCGGTTCAATCTGCCATGCGTGCAGGAAGGTATATAGTCCCGGGTTATATAATATGTATATTCATATATATATATATATATGTATAATATGTATATATATATATAGCCATATAGCTTTAAACTTCAGAATGACAATGACAACTATCCAGTGTGACAGCCATGATCAGTCGTTGTCAAGCTGTGGGTCCCCCGAAAAGATCCGAGTCAAACCACAGGAATTCCAGGGGAAGTCCATAGGCCAACGGGGCACACGAGCTGTTTGTGGATGGGGTGATTCTCCACCCAATGGGGCAGCACGCGTGGAGAGCGAGCTGAAGAGCTTCGCAGCTTCGCATGACGGACCGTCAGATGGGTGCGGGAATCCATGTCATGGCCCATAGTAGAAGAAAAAACCATCGACTTTCTCGGTGGTGGATTCTCAGCTGCGTCAGATCTGGCGCATCGCCCAAACTGCATTCCTCTGATCCCAAGCAGAAGAGAGAGACACCCAATCAGATCGGCATCCGGAACGATCGGAGCCCCCAAAAAAACCGAGACTCGCCGACTGTGACAGGCATCCCTGATGGGCTGAGATCCTTCTGATGGCGGTGACTCATCAGTTTGATGGAATAACCCTTGTCAAAAACACATGCAGTTGTGACCGACCCTGACCCTCATCTGAGATGTCAATGATTTGAGATATCTTGACAGTCAAGTTGGATTGACTTCGACTTCGTTGGAAACGGGTGTCAACCTAGGGCCTAAGGAGAGACCACACACACGGCAGGCATTCTGCATGGGGTCACCCTGGTTGACCACCGATTTCTTCTTTGGTCTCCAACGCATCCGGTTCCTGAGTGCCACGATTGCCATCCGAGTTCCTCGGTCGCCTGGCTCAGAAGTTGTTGCTTTTGGTTGGACATGTCAAGCAGCTTGCGGTGCAGCAAAAGCCAACAAAAACTGGGCGCAGAAAGCCCCGTGTAGAATGACTGGGCTGGGCCCCTCTGCCTAGTCAAGTCTCAGTGCGTGAGCAAACGACCAGCTTAAGCGCCATGACCACGAACGATGCCAACCCCAGTGGCCCGTGGAAGACACACTCTGAGTCTTCAAGGGGGAGGAACATTTGGAGAAACACGCGTTCTTCGTCACCAGTAGTGAATTAGCACAACCATAACATTAAGCATTTAGAAAGCAATCCTCAATTCTTGGAAGCGTGCACGTTGTGCTCGAGGCTCGCCCGGTTAAACTGGGGCTCTGCGGCGTGTGGTGGTGCCAAATGGTCAGCAACTGTAGGGTGAATGACATGATGCTTGAGATTTTGTTTTACGGGCAAGGGTGGCATTGATGGGTGCCTCTCCACTTGGAATAGAATAGGCCCGCTTTGTAAAGGAACATGGTTTTCGTAACAGTTTTCCATGTCATGTCAAGTCCGCAAGAGTCCCAATTTGGCTAGTTTGGCTGACTTGATCGAGTTCCTTTCTACAGCACGCGGACACATTTGAGAGTTGGCTCAGAACGCACTTGTCGTGGAGCCGGAGTTGGTTGCAATGGAGGCGAATGGGAAGGTCTCGTGGATGCAGCACCGACTGAAAACCGCATGCTTGTTCTTACGACCAGTGCAAGAGAGCCTTGTCCTTCTTAAGCAGGGCTTCATTGGTGCAAATTCAGTTGTCACCTCCACAAAGGAACATGCGTTTCTTTTTTCAACTGGGATGCCAGGTGTTGATTGACTAAAGCTAGATGCTAGATCAAAAGAACAGGGTTCTTCACTGTTCCATGCATTTCAAATGGGCCAACGGTCACTTGAAGGGTCTCATCCTCGGGAGCCCTGCCTTCTTTCAGGAGCGACATCCCAGCCATCCAGAAAGCAGCCAGTGCCTTTGCAGTGGCCGATGCCATGATCTCCATCCCACATCCCTATCCGGAAGACGAAGCTCAAAGGTTTGTTGAGACTTGGTGGGAACAATCAAAATGAGCCACTGCTCCTTGGGCAGAGTGCTATTTCGTTTGAACTCCACAGTTTTTTTCTTTTTTCAGGTCGGGTGGGGAGGAAACTCTTTTCGGCACACTTCTTGACCGGACTGATTTGCCAAGTGAGATGATCATGAAGCATCAAACGGCTGTGTCATCCACTGATGTCATCAAATCAGTGTCACGAATGGTTCCACACCGTTTCTAAAGGAAAGTCGTCTTCCTTTCGACCCCATCCTCTTCCATGATTGTTGGGAGGGTATTGGGGGTTGAGCCCAATAACTCCAGCTTCTTTGGCTCTGCACGATCGCTGACGTCTTAGAGAAGGAGTCACCCAACAAGTCGTTGAACGTTGAAACCGACGAAACCCGCGTTCACCGGCCTTCGGGGTTGGTCTTGTCGCGGTCTTGCGATGAAGCCGAAAAGGAAACGCAGAGGGAGTTGATGAGCAAGAAGCAATCCTTGACCTTCTCGATGATCGAAACCGAGAAGAAGGCCGCTTGCCATGGATTGCCTCTCTATTGGGGGCGAAACTTCCCTCTTTCCCTGCTACTTTTTTTGGGGGGGGATTTTGCGGAAGCTGGGCTCACCTGGGGTCCAAAATTGATGTATTTTCACCTTGTTCTTTCAATCTTGTGAGAAGGGACTTCCTGTGTGCATTGTCCATCAAGAACAATCGAAAACACATGCTCACCACTTGAGAAGTACTTCGCCATTGTGCTTCGAAGGAGGACATTTCTAGAACTGGGTTAATCCTCCCAACAAGGAAACAGGATGAAGAAAACAGGAACCGTTTTTCTCCGCTGGAGAATTTTGTCCATCGCTGCCTGGCGCGGCTTGTGGAGGCCTTCATTGGCTTGATCTCCCTCAGGGACTTTGAGCCGGAGCACCAGACGGCAGAACTCAGCTTTTGGGTTGCGCCCAATGCCCAAGGCCGCGGCTACATGACGGAGGCCTTGCCGAGTGTGCCTTGGACTAGGAAAAATATCATATTGGACTGGACTAGCATTGCAATTGATTCAGGATGTTCATTTTTTTCTGTTTCCTGGAAAAGAAGTGGTTGAGGGGTTGAATATGAACCCAGAGGAGCTAGGAACTGAGCCAACAATCAAGGCCCTAACCCGAATCGGCTGAGAAAGTCGTCGTTTTTCCATCCTTTCACCTCACATGGCCTCATGTCCTGCCACACCTGTCTGAGGTTCTGGACCTGGCCTTTAAGCATTTGGAGCTCAATCGAATCTATGCCTATCACATGCTGCGGAATGTGCCCAGTGGCCGAGTCCTGGAGAAGTGTGGCTTGCGGCCTGAAGGACCGAAGCACGGGGTGCCTTCAGCACCGAGCCGGGATGGGGATGGGGATGGGGGATCAGCGGTCCGTGCTCGGAGGGTCGGTGGTTCTTCAGGTCTGAGGTGTTGTCCGACCTCAGCGGTTGGCCAACCGCCCAGAAGACGGTGCCCGGATTGACCCAAGAGCTCAAGCGTTCAGGGGGAGCGTGAGGCGAACGCGCGGGTGGTCCAGCGCCGAACAACACAGCGAGAAACCCCTCGGGTCGTTCGGCGCTACGCGCAGATTCGGAGGACTTCTGCGCCAACGGGTGCTGAAGCTGGGTGGTTTCAGATTTTTTAATTTTCCACCAGCCACCAGGAGAATACCAACTCACATCTTAAAAAACATCATATATATATATATATTATATATCTATATGTATGTATATTCGTACAAGTATGTGTATATATATATATATAAATTCATACATATTCTTTCATGTTTTTCCATTTGTGTCCGATTTTTTCCAGAGTTTCCACCGACCGAGGAAGTGCGGGAAGTTCGAGGATGTGCTGCTGCGCGCGGTGCTCCGGGAGGAGTGGTCCAAGATCTCGGAGCAGTTGATCTCACGAGTCCGAGAACGCTACGCGGTGGAGCTCGGAGGGTCGTGAGGCTCGTGATAGGCCGAAGAGGTGGCGAAGCTAAAGGTGATCAAAGATCTCCAGTTTTTTCAGGGGAATCTCACTATGTAAGCAAACCCACGGCAGAAGATGTGGAGATGAAGGCTGCAAGCCTAGTCCCATGTGGTTCATTTTCTTGGTTCTACTTCTGGGAAAGAATAACAAAGGTCCCCGGTGCCGAAACACCCAGAGCTGCGGCCCTAGGCTCCGAGACCTCTCAGTGCTATTTGTTGTAAAAAAAATCTCAAAGCTCCGAGTCTGAGGGGTGAATTGATCAATTGCAAGTCTTGGGTTTTGGATACCAATGTTGTAAGATTTACAAAGTTCTTGTGGGAGGGAGTCGCGCACTTTGGCCTATCAAGTTTGAAGCGATGGGGCCAGCTAACGTAGACCCTCAAAGAAATCGCAGGTTGCAGGTTTGATCAAATTCCTGAACCAAGTTGAAGGGGGGGGTCTATGTTTGTCTAGGATGTACAAAGTCTACAAGCCGAACTCCGTTGAAATCTCGGAGGCCAAAACGTCCATCGAAAATGATGGCAATTTCGGCTGATGTGCTTCGCCCGTGGCCAACCTGGGCGGTTCTGGGTGTCCGTTTTGGAGATACAGTATGGTGTAGTAGTTATTCAAGAGTTCCAACCGAACTCGGTGTCGTTGACTGCAATCTCCATCAATCTCCTGGTTTTGGTGTCAAATTGGTATAGCAAAGGCTTGCAACGGACACGAGCGGCTTGTGAACTGAGAGTGGTTGGGTGGCCCTCTTCACAAGCTAGCCTGCAAGAGCAACCTTACAGTTCAACAAAAGAACTGGGGGTTAGAATGAGCAAGCTGAAGCCCTGCGTGCGAACTGAGGGGCCCTGCCTGACGCGATGGAAGGGGAACAAAGGGCGAAGGGGCAAGGTCTTTTCATGACTGAA